CTCGACGATTATTTTTCACATTAAGCCTTTTGGAGAGCAACAAATGGTACAGGGACATTTACGAGAAATATTTTGAACGTGACGCATAAGTTGATATTTTAAAATTTGATAATATCGTGAGCAATTACAAATAATGTTATCTAGATTAGTAAAAATTAAATTGTTTAAGAAATCAATTTTACAGAAAATACGTTTAAAGTTTCTAACTATAAATTAAGATTGAAAAAAAATATATATTAAATACTAAGAAATTAAGCACTAATAAAATACTTTACGTTATACTTAAAAGTCAAACATTGTATTGAACAATTAAATTACTGATCTCTGATAGGTTTATAACATAATAAAAAGCAAATTAATTGATAACTTTTAAATAGAAACACGCGTAAAAATATGAACTTAGAAAATTAAATCTTTATTTCAATTGCAATTATTAATAGAGTTTTTTTTAACAGCAAGTTTGTATTATTTGAACAAATTAAATCAGTACTCAAATAAATTATGCACAGAGGCGTGAAGAATACAGATAAATGATTTTGGTTAAATTAAGTTAAGTGAATAACAGTGTGTTCAGAATGAGAATTAGTCGTTCGAGAAACTTATTGTTTATACAATAACATGGAAAATATTTTTTCATACTTTTAAACTAATATTTTTACTGAAATACACTAGCAACAACTAAAATAATTTAAGTTAAGTACTATAAACCGTTATATTTATTAACGAGTTATGATAAGGAGAGTAGTAAGAAATAATTTATAAAAACAATTTTCATAAAAAAATGTCTAACCACGATTACCATTGACAAAAATACAAGTTAACATATTTTTAAATGTTCATTTTATCTTTTTAATATACGCTGAAGATTTTTTAAGAAAATGCTTATTTTTAAAATGATATGATTTTTATGTATAGGCAAATATGTATTATAATACATAAACTTTGTAACTACAGCTTTATTCAATAAAAGTAAAAAAAAAATCAGATTGAATACTTTATTTGAAGTCTTCGCAGATATTTTAATATTTTAATCAGCATGCCTTGCAACTGACAGTGACCCCAGGGATCTATTAGGGATAGCTACCGTTTCCGTTACTAAAATTCAGATTTTAATCAAAACTCCTCGATTTTTCATTTTCACTCGTCTTTATAAAATATTCTTAATAACTCTATGCAGGATCGATTTAATTACGGTTGAGGTTTTAGAAGTAAAATTTTACTTTTAAGCTACAATACAAAATGTAGTTAATAACTTCAAAGAGCTGTGAACTGCTTAGAAAAAATTTAATTAATTGTTATTTAATCAATATATAATATGGTTGTTAACAATATTTACTCAAATCATAATTGTCCGCTAATGGTCTACAGTCTTAGTCCATACAAGTAATTGCTATCAATTCTCATTTTTGGCGATGTCGTCTAGAGCAAAAACCCTATTCCACACGATTACGTTTAAATCTCCAAAAATACGATGGACTTACATAGGTGTCATGGGAGGTATGGGAATGAAAATATCGTTCGAACGCAGGGTGGCAAAGTTAAGAGGCATTACGTTGATAAGCAATCAAGTGTAGAGAGAACATGAAAGTTGGCAAAATGCCAAGCCATTACTTCTCGGGAGGTAAAATACGCAGCCTGAATCATTTGTATGACACAAAAGGAAACGCGAGAAAAAAAAGAAAGAGAGAATAGATAACTGTTTTTTCTCCATTTTCTTTTGCGGAATAGCGCCAACTGTGTTGTGTACGGCGAATCAAGAGCAGAGGTGTGGTACTTTGTTGTGATCCTTTTCTCGTTTAGACATAATTACCACCCGAGGTTGGAAAAAAAACTACCAAGTCGATAATTGTGGTCAGGAAGCGGTTAATACTTTTTATTGAATTGGAAGTGTTTAAAGTAATTAATAGGACAGGGTATTATATTTGATACCTATGGAAATATGTATGAATTATTTAAATAAATAAATATTTTGATCACAAATAAGTAATAATAATTATGTACCATTCAACGGTATATACTCGAAAAAATAAAACTTCACCACAAATGTATTGTAATTGTATAGACGAAAATTAGTTTTAAAGGGATTATTGGAATTAGTTTTTTGCTTAGAAATGTATTTCTATTATATATATTTATTTAATTATTTAATGGGCATAATGCCCATGAATGGAACAATAAGACGGAATACACAGTAATCACAAATTTGTAGTGAGGTAGCAATTAAATAATACAACACCGTTACAGAATTAACAACAATTAAAGAAAAACAAAATTAATTAATTAATAATGTAACAGATGGTAGTAATAACAAAAAAGTATTTAGGTGCTCTTTCCACCAAATGCATCATACAGTGAATGGTATTCCTACCATAATTAGTAAAATGAAACAAAAAATAAGAATTGGATATAGTGGAATGAGACGGGACTCTAAAATGTATATGTGAAGAGTGAGAAGTAGCACCGACTAGTCAACCAGATATATTGAACCCTATTCATAATAAACACACACATTTTATATAAACTATTGGGTGTACCTGTACAAAAATATATTTGACTAATTTTAAAATGATATTATTGATATTACAAATAATTATGTGAATTATTTGACATTGTTGTCTGAAAATAGTGAATATTGCATTTTTTTAATAATGTGTAACAATCAGACATAAAGATATACAAAATATTATTATACATATTATGTATAATATCTATGTGTATTATTATTTTTTTTTTTTAAAACCTAAATCAAAAATTAAAAATGCGTTTTCCTATGCTAGGTATAAAATAATGTAAATTAGAGACAACAAAATAAGCTACGACGTTTCTTCAGCATGATTTACTTGTACATTTTATTTTTAGATAAATTATACACAAAATCGAATTTCTTGAAAAGTTTTGTACATGTCAAGTCAAGTGAATCATTGTGCGCCAATTACTCACAACCGAGAATCTAAATTTACAACGTTAAAAAAATGTCACAATAGAGCTTTATTCTTTTATTTTAGTTGGTTAATATTAATTTTGTGTAGAAATACCACGCAATGAAAAATGAAAACTCTTAGCGATATCTTTAGCAAATGAAATATGCGTCCCAAGAGGTCTTGCCGAGTATTAATCCCAGCTAATGAAAAAAGCTATTGCTTCGGTTAAATAAGAAGCACGGTAGGCTACAAAAACTTTTATACACAGCTGGTTTAATTTCTTACGAGTTTAGCCTTTAGACCAGACCATTATTTACTTTTGAAGACGCGCACATCACATTATCGACGACGTGATCGTGATTTTTAGTGGCAGTTCATTTAGGTATTGTAAGTATATATATATTTTTAAGTAGTATGTAGTTTGTATGCATAAACTGGTTAAACCAAGTTTTGGTTCATTACAAAATTGTATACGACGTAGTTTCGTTGCTCATAAATAGTTTAGAAACGTAAAACATTTTATGTGTTACCGGTATTAAACTTGACGTGACGTGTTCGTTTTGGTACATCATTATTCATTGGCATTCATTTTTCTTTGTTTATACGCGTACTTATTAGTTGCAATTTTGAAATATTAATGGGGACTTAAAGAAACAGTAAATAAATAGCTTGGATGAAAATAAAATGGTAAAATAAACCATTGACGAATTGTAGTTCATAGAAACGGCACATGCATAATATGATAGTCACATTTTATACTTGTTGATAATATAATGTATTGACTATGGAGTTGCAAACATCCGATTTGAAGATTCGATATAAATCGTTCGAGCAATCATACCAGTTATACGCACCGTATACACGGTCTATCGGTAAACATTTATCGCACAATATTATTCAACCCGCAGTAAACCCATTAAAACCAGCAATGAGTGAAAATTAATTTCCAATAAACAATTGCAAAGTTAGTAAAACATTTAGCTGTTCTAATGATCACTTTCCCTTAATAAACATACGAGGTTAAAAGCCCAACAATAGGCGTTGATAAATATTTATTGCATTTAATAAATCAGTTTTACATATTTTTGAACCAGGATAATGATTTAATTAAAATTGGTTTTTAAGTACAAAATTAGTTGAACGAATATTAAAAATAATTTATTTTATCAAAGGATTTATTGAACAAAAATTGTGGTCAACTTAAGAGGTCACGCGCAACATAGAAAGTCAGCGATACCAACCTTGTAGACATATCTTCTTAGTATTAAAGTGAATTGACCTATTATCGAACTCAAAGGCTGCATCCGAATATAGGAAAAATATAGTTACAGTTCTAAACAGTTCTAAATTACAGTTAGAACTGGATCCAGGTGAATAAAATATTTTGTTCGAACTTGGTCAGGAAGTATAAAAATAGGTGATAAAGTTGCAAACCAAAATTTAACAGTCACGAATTTGTTATACTTGTTTATCACAAATTTTAACTGAATTATTAACATTTTGCTACATAAATATTATAAATAAATTATGTATGTGACGACGAATGATTGGAAATCACGAACATAACCTATATTTAACATTATATAATTTAATTGAAGAAAAAAAAACATTTCAAACCATATTTATAATAACTAAATTAAATAAGTTACGGACAGTCTTAATTGTGTAAAAAATTGGAACGAACATTTTTTTTCTTGGACCCAACAATAACGCAATCTGGGGCTCAAATAGTATGCGCTGAACCTAAAGTTAAGAATGTGTGTTAGTATAATACCATTTTTACGATAAAATCAATTTTTTGGAAATTATAAGTTTGGAAAATAATTACAATTCGAAAATTCGAAAATTTCACTTTTCACAATCTCTGAATAGTTCATTGATATATCGACCTTACTCTTAACAAAGCACTAAACCCTGACACTAAGCCCTACGGTATAGTATGAGTTTATAAATTATTTAACTGTGCAAAATATTAAAAATTATTTTTGATAGAATGTTGAACAAATGTGTAGGATATTATGGTTTGTAATGATATCGTAGATATTTCTTAACCTGAGCAAATAGAAAATATATAAATACCTTCACTGTCGATTGAGAAGTAGCCTAGACCATCACCGTCTACAATTGAATATCCAACTCTTGACACGTCTCCAGGAGGATCTGCGTCCGTAGCACTCACTGTGGTCACTAGAGTCCCGGGTGGTTCGTTTTCGTCGACAAATGCAGTTGCATAAAAACTGCCGAACTCAGGAGCAAATATGTTTTCGTTTACATCCACAATTTCTATTGTTAACCATGTTTGTGAAGATAAAAAGGGCATACCACCATCTACAGCACTCACGATTAGTGTATGTATCTGTCTCTGTTCGAAATCTAATTCACTCGTAGTTCGAACAGTTCCAGAAATGGAATCGATTTCGAACATTTTTTCGTCCACTTCTGATGAAGAATCTGATTCCAATGAATACGATACAATTCCGCCTTTACCGAGATCGGGATCAACTGCGGTCACGATTGCAACGACGCTACCGATTGGCAAATCTTCCAAAGCCTTAACGGTGTAATTTTGTACGAGAAATTCAGGAGCGTTATCATTCACGTCGTCAACAATGATGCGTATCAAAGCTTCTGTGTGTAATGTCCATGGTTCAGGGGCAGAATCTGAGACGGTAACTTTCAGTTCGTATAGTTCTTGGCGTTCTCGATCTAAGCGACCGGATACATATAGATTGCCTGAAGATTTGTCAACCGAAAAATGAGTCGTGTCTGTGGTCAACATATAAACTATCCTACCATTTTCTCCTTGATCAGGATCTTGAGCATTTATTTTGAATATGACTGTCCCGTTTCGAGCATTTTCACTGACCCGAAAACTAGAAACTCTTTTATCAACTTTGGGAGCATTGTCATTGACGTCTAGAATTACAACTTTTAATAACTTCCATGTAGTGTGTTGTGGTTTGCCGAGATCAGATACAGTAATGTTTAATACATATTCATCTCTTGTTTCTCGATCTAGATATCCAACTACATTTAAATCACCGGTTTCAGGGTCAATTCTGAACAGTGAATCGTCGTCACCATCGGAGACACCATACACTAATTTTCCGTTGTAACCTAGATCTCTATCTCTGGCACGAATAGCGAGTATTGTATATCCTAATGGCACTGACTCATTGACTTGAACAGCAGTAGGGAAATTAACCAACTCGGGCTTATGCACATTTTCTCCATACCTGCTTGGCATCATGGCAAAATCATCATCTTCACCAATATTGTTCTTTTTTGCGGTTTCAATGGCATCGTTTAATCTACGAAGTACTCCCGTTTCTCGACACTCGATATTGATTGAATCATCAGCAGCCTGTGTTTTTTTAGCGTTCACTAAAGTTATATGTAAACTTGTCAAGTCTGAATAGTGCGATCCGTCAGTAGCAGTGATTTTTACGTTACGTTCTTCCATACCTATGTCGGAAAGGTCACAAGTCACTGAAAGTACGCCAGATGATGATTCGATTGAAAAACAATTGTCTTCATTGCCTGATTCAACCCGATAGCTTATGAAATTACCATCGTCAAAATCTACAGCAGACATGGTCATGATTTCTTTACCTATGGCAGTAAATCTAGGAACTTGTATTTTACAGTCAATTTTTTCAAATTGGGGCCTGTTGTCATTCACATCTTTTAGCTTAATCACTAACTTCATTTCAGTTTGTCTCCTGTATGGATATCCCCAATCCGATGCCCTGATATGAAGCACATATTCCCGTCGCATAGTTTCAAAGTCTAAAAGATGAGTTGTTTTAATGAGGCCGGTGAAATGATCAATATCGAAAGGAACCGGTTTTAAATTAGCAATACTGTAGGATATATAACCATTTTCACCTGAATCCTTATCACGTGCACTTATTTTTATAACAGAAGTACCAGCAGGTTCATTTTCGTTGATGGATACTTCCATTAAATATTTTTCAAATAAAGGATCATTGTCGTTAGCATCAACAACAAATATTTTGACTTTGGCAGCTGATTGTTTTCTGCTTCCTGCGTTTCCTTGATCTATTGCACTGACAGTAAGAGTATAAGATGATCTATGTTCCGCATCCAAAACTACGGCTGTGTAAAGCATACCTGTCCGTTTGTTTATTCGAAATTCTCCACCTTCATTACCACCTACGATTTCTAAAGACACTTGGGCATTTTTACCTTCGTCTTTATCACTTACTTTTAGTTTAATGACAGGCGAATTAACTGGTGCGGTTTCAGCAATATTTACTTCATATAATTCACGTTCAAACACTGGAGCGTTATCATTAATGTCGGCGAGTTCTATTGAAATCGACCTGTAAGTATCTCTTTCTGGTGTTCCCGAATCAACTGCTCTAAGAGATAGATTATAACCTTTTGGAGCTGTCTCTCTATCCAACATATTGAGGACGACAATATTATATTCACCACTATGTCCGGTTTCTTTAATTCTGAAATGGCCATCAGGATCACCGTCAACAATTTCCAAGCTTCGTATAATACCATTTACTCCTGAATCCCTATCTGTCACTTTGATGATTGCGTATATGTCACAGTTCGATTCCTCGACCACGTGTGGTAAATGTTGTATAGAAATATCAGGACTATATATATTGACTTGTTGGATGTTGAATTTTACTTTTGCACTACTTGGTTTAGAGCGCCCTCGAATGCCACGATCCCGAGCTTCGACAACAAAGTCATACGATCTTCTTTCTTCAAATTTTAATGATCTAGTTATTGTTATAACACCGGTTCTCGGATGCATAGCAAACTGATTGGTTTTTTCTTTAAAACTATAGTATATTTCACCATTCATTCCAATATCAGCGTCTTCTGCTGAAACTTTTAAAACACTAGAATGGAGTGGCGTATCTTCTGGTATAGTTTTTTCATATACAACCGGATAGAATAAGGGACTTAAGTCGTTTGTATCAAGAACTGTTACAACTAAAGCAGCATGGAGTTCTAATGAGACACTATTTTTTTTTTTATCTTTCGATTTGTCAGTAGAAGTTGTAATTGTAGCTTTGACTTCTAAGATATATTCATCTTGTCGCTCTCTGTTCAAAACATCGTAATCAGTCTTTGTTCGAACTAAAAGGAACCAAAAGTTTCCAATCTTCTTTTCTTCAGCCTTGAAGAATTTGATCTTTTGTTGGGATGCTATCTTATAACGTATGATAACGTCATCATCTGAACAATATATGCCCATTTTTTCTTCCGTTCGGACATACGTTTTAATAAGCGCATTTTCAGGAATCGTTGCATTGTAATGATCTCTGGTAAAACGTAATTCGGCCAGACTTCCATTTTTTAAAGTGGAGTAGCAGCTTGATACCAGGAATAACGAAACTAATATCAGAGGCTTGATAAACAGCGCCTTGAAGCCTGTATCCATGGTAGTTACTCGCGGGACGATCTTGTCATCTTATTAGGTAGACTCGTTTTGATATTCTGCACATTTTCCTGCAAAAAAATTTTAAATTAAAGATTATTACATGGGATATTATTAAAACATGAATATTAGAATAAGATATAAAACATTGAATAATCGTACCACAGAATTAAATAAATAATATTTTCAACCTTATTATAGATGTTCAATTTTATTTTATTAACTATAACATTAAAATATTAATAAACCATAAATAAATGAAAAGTTTGTGATGTCTACGGAAAGGGTTTCAACTTCCGGAGAGGCAATAACGAATTGTGTTGACCCTATTATACTGGGACAAAGCCAAAGAACAATAAAAACTACGGACAACGTCAAGATGGCAAAGAATGTACATTGTTACTAGAGCATTTCATCGGGGAAAAAATATAGACGGACATATACGAGTTCAAAAATTAATTTTAAAAACTATTATTTATATCAATTTAAAAACAAAATAATAATTAATCAAAACTTTTCTAAATGACAATTTTTCGGAAAGAACAATTTAATCAACTTAATGTATACATGTATACTTTTCTATATTCAACCTGCAATGAATAAATTTAAAAATGTTAAGAGCCACAAGAGTTAATTCAGAGCCTAAGAAAGTTTTTTTTTCTTTCAGTGTAGACATTACGAAATTGTACTTCTATAAAATGGGGATGCAAGCGCATCGAGTCCACAACAGTAACACTGTTTACAATTACCGACCGATTGTTCTTCCCGGCCACTTGAACAATGAACGTTTCTCCTGTGCGTTTAAGATGTTACTTTGTATTTTAAAGACTAGATTGGAATTTTAAATATCATCACTGGTTTTATTCAGGACCTCATCATCAGGACTTATACAAAAGATATGTTTACCATATCGAAACGAAACTCTAAGTCAAGAGGGTTTTCGACATTTTCGTATTATATATTTTTAGACACTTGCAGTATAAAACATGGTACATTAGGGGAACCTAAAGAACATTCATTCAGGATGTATGCAAGGGGCGTTTTATATGAGGGTCTATCCAATATAATAAATTAAACGTCTTTATGTAACAGCTAATAAATGGAATATTTAAAATAAAAATTATTAATTGTATATTGAACAGAATATAGAGCCAATAAATGTATTATTTCTACTTGTTATAATGTAGAGGTTATTGACAGCATCGTTCAGTATAAAAATGGAATATTTGTGGTTGCTTATTCTATAAAAAGTATTTAACAAAATAAATGAAATATAGAACACTAATATGCTAATAATAAATGTAATGTATAAATAATATATTAAGAAAAATAAATGTTAAAATAAAAAGACCACCTAATAATATTGCTGTTACATTAAATAATTTACTATTAAAATCAAAATAAAGAAACTGCGAATTAAAAATTCAATAAACAAACTATTGACAATTTGATTACGATTTACTTAAACTTTAGTTTTGTAAAATTAATCATATAATAATCTTAAAAAGTGTTTTGTGTTGAACTTTGCCACTTTGTAACAGTTTTTGCTTAAAACTGTTAATGGATGAAAAAAATACGTTTCCATGTCTCTTCTCGCACGTTTTTATATTGCATTATTATAATTTATGTGACTTGTTTCCTTCTTTCGACCTCATCACAACCGTACTATCCGGTCATAATAATATATCATTGTACTGGGAATGGGCCCCTAGTTACACCGAGTACAGGTCGAAAGAGAGAAACTTGCGCTTTTCATATTTCTCTACCACCCTACCAGCCGATCTATCTTGTCCCTAACACTACACACAGGAGAATAGCGTAGTTTTTATGTACTTCACCAAGTCATCATCGGTATTTGTTTTCTTGAGTGTAAAACACTATAGGCAGTCTAAAACATACTAATCATGGCACCAATATGTTATGTACCATTGTTTAATTATAAATTACAGTCGAGTTAAATTCCACCGTAAATATTATTTCCAATAAAAAAAGAAAAAACCACAGATGTTAAGTATAAAATGATTCAGCTAAATATAAAATAATTATACATTTTCCATCATTGTTTATTACCAAAAACTTCAATTATATCTGTGAACTTATCTATATAATCTATTATAACTGACTTGTATAATAATATATATAGCAGGTAAGTTCTCAAATTGCAATTGATAGACTTCAGTATAGTATACAGCAGTGACTGTTATTGAACCGCGATGTTATATTAATCGAATAGAAACTACCTGCTCTAAATAATTCGATCAAGGGGATTGAACGTACGCTTAACTGTGGAATATATCCATCCAAATCCTTGTAAAATGTACTATAATAATCAGAGTTAAAGTTATAAGACGGACCACTATAGGTACATAAATTATCGAAGATTGTAATAACAAATAAATACATAAATATCAAAATGTTTGGTAAAATAATATTTTCTTTAAAATAGTTGGTTTTATAAAATGAAATTCAATTTCATAATAACCCATACCTATACATTTTATAATATTATTAAATAAAGTAATATGGTAGAATATACCAACTAACATACACTTACAGAGGTTAGCCCCACGATGTGTATAGATTATTATTTATTACCAATAAGACTACTCATTACCCACTGTGCAATATTTTGTTACAGAAACATTGAGAAGAAGTTTTAAATCAACATGTAACATTGCATTTGTTGTTGCTTTTGCGTTAAATTAACATCGTTAATGTCCAAAATTTTATAACGTAATTTATGTTTCATTAACGTAATTGTAACATGTTTTCAAACATTCCAATAACATTGTAACAACGTTGAGTCTACAACACTATATTACCATTACTAGATGTTACATAGACGTTATTTCAACATGCATGTATAACTATTAAACAATATTAAGAAAAAAAATATGCAAAAATAAAGTCTAGTTAGGTTAGGTTTAATTTCACTCGCCATGCATTGAATTAAGGTAATTCTACTGACATCCATTGCGTAGGTACTTATCATTTTTTTTAAGATGAGTGTTCAGCTGTTTAAATCTACTTAGAATTTTAGTGTGATAATTTATAAATTTGAGTGTCATCTTAGATCTCTAATGATTTTTAGAGAAATTATAGAATATGACATATTCTTATTTATAATGAAGGTGGAGAAAACAGGCAAGTCATTTTTAAAATTAAATAATGATAAATATTAAAAACTGTTAACAATAACGACTATGGAAATAATAATTAAAACCAATTGATAAACTATTAACGAAGATTTTACTGAGGTGTTGTTCACGATTTCTTTTGGATAATATAATAATATATAAGTCACGTCAAAAACTTGATAACTACACGAACAATGCTTTTGGATCAATTGTGAAACGATTCGCACACACTTTCAGCCCGCGGTGTAGCGCCTCCGCTCCGTTAATCAGCTTTGAGTTTTATATATTGGTTTTGTTGTACACGGAACTAAGTTGTTCGTCGTTAATAATTGCGTCAGTATTACATTTAACTTGTTAAGTTTGAAATTTCGGCAACCACGGCTGCACCAAGAATATGCGAATAGTGAACTTAGAATCTTTAAAACACAGTTAATGCGGTCGAATCACATTAAAAGTAGCGATCGACGACGCGCAAATAGTTCATCATTCTGATGTGGCAATTACATAATGTAGAAAAACGATAGTCGTTCAATAAATTAACACAAGAGGTCATATAAACACGATACGAATATAGCTTATACATATTTTATTACATATTTGGGGTCTTCTATGTTCTAAGAGTTATTCGGGTAGAATAATATAAAAATAATGTTGATGACTGGAACAATTTTTTTACCCTATTTGCACAAGTATTTATTTATGAGTTTTTTTTTTTTTTATAAAATTTGTGTTTTGCAATTTGAATAACAGGATGTGTAATAATTGACGGAATTATTAGAGTGATTGAATAATTGTAAGATAATATATTTGTATTAGTGTACATATTATAATATCAATGGTCATAATTAATTTAAGTAAATTATATTCAAATCTTTTGTATTAACTTGTATTTTATTGTTTATTGTCCATATTATGTATTTTATATTTGTTATAATTAATGAGTATATTACTCTAACTGTTCCTGTATATTTTTAACTATTGATTAAGCTTATGAATGAATATTTAACTCATTGTTACTTTATTCACATATGTCACTATTCTAATTGTATTTGAAATTGGAAAATTTTTCCGTAAATAATAAAATAGATAATTATAATATATATTAGTTACTTACACAGTCAACACTCCCACTATATAAAAACAAAATTACATGAAATTAATTTTTGTATATAGTTTTTGGAAAATGTATAGCAAATGGAGTTAGGTTTAATTTAAAAAATTAAAAAGTTATATATTATAGAACTTTTGGAATCATATTGAAAACTTGTACTGTAGCCAGATTTTAAGTAATATATTTACATTCAAATATGTTTGGTTGAGTTATAGTTTTCAAACTATGATGATAATTATATTTAAGGTAAAACAAAACTTCATATAATTAATGTTAAAATAAAACTAAAATGAGTTAGTTAGAATTGATTTAATTTGAATATGTTTTGGGCTTAATAGATATAGAGTTAAATTCGAATTATAAATGTAATAGTTACAAAATATAAGTTAACATATGCACAAATTACACTATTTATTATCATAATAGCGTATTTAAATGGTGATTATCTATTTATGACAACAAATCTAGTCAAAAATTGAAACACACTCATAGAAATAAAGTTTAGTTCTATCATTGTTGTGTTTTCTATATCTACGATAAATGCAAACGTAACCTACATTATATTATTATACCTGTGAATATATTTGTTTTTAGGCGTCCAGTGAAATGGATTAAAATCGTACACTGGTATGTTGGGCCGAATAATTGAGTGCAACGTTTCCGACATTCGTTTAACCAACACAAACAGCATGTTTTTAAACAATTCGATTTACAAGATTTGGAATTTTGATTAAACGCATTTAGTATCGGTTTCCCGTATTTATATAATACATTATAATGTTAACCTGCAGCAGCAGTGTTGGTATAATTTGTCCACTGGTTTACTGTTACAATCATAATAT